TGCTGTGGTGTGCCGTGCCTATAGCGGCTGTGATCTCCAGTCTCAATCGGGAGCTCTTTTGAGAGCTCTGGCTGGCATCTGTTTTGTTTGATTCCTCAGGCACAGGAAGTTTTCACGTGTTGCTTGTTTGGAGCGGCGATGTAAATAGAGATTGTGGTCTTGAATCACGGAAATACTATCTCTAGGTCAGCTTGTGGTGTCAGTCTGACCATGGGCTTGTTGCTTTTCTTAGTTTGGAAAAAAAAAAGTTGATGTTATTTTCTAGCTGAAAGAAAAGGTGGGGAGAAATGATCATCTCCTGGCTACTGGCAGTCAACTGGGCTTGAGCAGTCGAATTTACATACCTTCTGTCTGCTATCATTAATGATTTTGCTTTGTTTTTACATGTGTAGCAGGAATTCCATACGTGGCAAGAAGTCTGCTGTAAGGTCTTGGCAAAATGGCAAGCCTTCTGCGTATTGCTGTTAGTGGGTGCTCAACTCCTCTTTTTGGCAATGTACTACCACGTAAGGCGCGTTCTGCAGAGATGCTGTGTTTGCGAATGTTTAGAACCCACCAGATGCTCACATCTCAGGCAGCTCCAAAGCCAGGTAAATTAATTTAACTATTGTAAATAATCCTTATTTTAAAGCATGGAGATAGCTTGGTTTTCTTCTTTCGGATATGCGTTAGTACAGAAAAAACTTTAATAAAAAAAATGACTCTTAAATCATGTCAGCAGCATACTTGAGTCAATTGCAGTACAATTTTACACTGGTTTTAAAGGGCTTACCCAAGAGATGTTTGTGTTTACTATGGATCCTTTGGCTCCAGATAGCTTTAATGAGTATGGGGTCAGAGATCCAGCTGACACTTACCTTGCTTGAGGGAAGTATTTAAACAAATGGTTGTCTTGATTAAATGCCTGAGTTCCCTTCAAGGTTTTGTAGTGCAACTCTTTGTATGCATGCAGGGGAAAATATAACCCTCACAAAGGGCATCTGCAAGTGTGACTATATATAGATGTAACTATTCCATTAAAAAAATCTCTTAACTTTGTTCAGGAAAGTCTTGAGTTTTACCACCTTGAAGAACTTTTGATCCACATCTTTGTGTGTAGGGTTTGTTGGTATATTTGCACTAATTAAGTTTTAGTGCAGATAATGGACAGGTTCAGGTATTTTCAGAAAAAAAAAGAGAGGGGAATGGGAGCATCCTTGGTTTCAGTTTGTGATATGAACCTGGTGTATGAAAATCAGAACTGAATTTTCTTTTGCTCTATCCTATGCTGTGCATAACCCAACAGCTGGAAGATTTAAGAATATATAAAACTGGTTTAATGATATTTTTGCTAGTTACTCTGAATGAATCATGTCTCTCTGAAGGAATTTAGAGACCAGTAAAGACCAATGAAGACCTTGCTTTAGTACAGTTCTAGGCTCTTCTCAGTCTATGACAGATTGACATGGAGAGTTAAGACTGATTATGCACATGATGTTCAGTTCTTCCAAACATACACAGTAAATACATCATTAGATATTTCAGAGTATTAAAAAAGTAATGCTGTTTGTCAATCCAAGTGTCTAGTTGTGAAAACACAGGACATAAGATTAGATTGTATAATTTGGAGAAACCTTTGTTTTGTGGAATTTTGGGCAATACTAACAGTGGCTGGTGCATTTTGGGATCCTTTCAAATCAGTGACCCAGTGTTTTGGAGCTTCTGAAGAAATGTCACAAGAGGAAGGATTTCTTTACTCAGAGGGCTCCTGATAGTCTATATTGAATGGCATTTTACCACAGTTGCATGGTGAAATCTGAATGTCTTTACTCTGATGGACAGCCCAGAGGGTTCTGACAGCCCCTTAGGTCTGTCAGCACTGATCAGGTAATAGTTTTGCAATCCCATGAATTCGTGATGCTCCGTTTTTTTTCCATAGTAAGTATCTGAAAGATACAGGATACATCTGTCGGTCTTGACATGTCAAATTGTCCCTTCTTGGGAGTGTTAACCTGGGAATAGGAAACTAGGTTTAAAGTTCTTTCTCAAATGTCCAGGTAAGTGCCCTTGTTGTTGTTTGAGTTTGGAATCGATCTTTGTATTTGACTTTGACCACAAATTTGATCATGAAACTGGAAGATCTCTTCAGTTTTCTTGAAATCGGTATGCTCGTCTCTGTGTGTGTGTGTGCATTTTCTTGTTACGAATCACTTCAGCATTTTTTCCACAAGGACAGAGAGTTCTGATTAGTGTCATGTGTTTAAGCATTCAGTGCTATCCCTTCAGATCTGTCATGTGGAAGCCCTTATTTAAAGGCAAGCAGTATTCATGCAATGCAGTTATTTAATGCCAAGAATTATAAGTTTGATAAGTCTTCTGGTTGATAATTAAGTTGTTCTTATAGTTCATGTTGGTAACATGAGATTGGTCATTCAGTGGAGGACAAATCAAGGATAAAACAGCCATTGAATGACAAATCAGTAGTATTACTGGCTATGTATACTTTTAAAGGGCTCTCGAATCGAAATTTAACAGCATATTAAATAACTACATTTTGTCCTTACTCTTAGAAACTATCTTTGATTATAGTGACACTTGGTAAAATCACTGTAATATTAAGAAGAGTAAGTTTTCTAAAAAGACTGGTGTCACAGTAATTCTTCTTAAGCCTGTAGTTATTATTTCCATTTTCTCAGATTAGCTTTCATTTAGTTCAGGATATGTTATATACAAGAATAACAGTTGCTTGAGGAGCGGGGAGATTTGGAGTCAGTTGAAAATAAAACTTGGAGGATGGATACTTTTCTTACTGCTATTTATTTTTCTGCTATTTCATTTGTTTCTTAGAGACATAGGAATTTTCATACAGGAGTAAGCAAGTATTCCTGTAACCTGTATCGAATAGTCCTAGCTAACATCTAGCTAGCATCAGATGCTTCAGAAACAGATGTGAAACTTTCCCAAGCCCTGGCAAATGCGCTTACAGAGTGACTGACTCTTGAGGTTTCCTATATACTTCCAGATCGGTTTTTCCTACAACTCTCTGATTTTTACCTCTCTTTGTCTTGGAGTTTTTAATGTCCTTTTTATTTTGATACACCTTTCATAAAAATTACTGTTTGTTTGGTTTTTTTACTAAATCTTGCAGAACTTTTAAACCTATAACAATTTTTTGTCAATTCTCTACATAAGCTATACAGTATTTATAAACCATAGACATTCTCCTTAAATTTCCTTGGGTTTTTTGTATTGTGTTGCTTGTGTAATGTGGTGGGTTGACCCTGGCTAGATGCCAGATGCCTGCCAAAGCCCCTCTATCCCTCCCCCTCCTCAGTTGGACAAGGGAGAGAAAATGCAATGAAAAGGTAGTGCATTGAGGTAAGGAGGGAGAGAGATTGCTCACCCATTACTGTCACGGGCAAGACAGACTGGACTTGGGCAAATTAGTCTGATTTATTGCCAATCAAATTGGAGTAGGATCATGAGAAATAAAGCCAAATCTTAAAAACACCTTCCCCTATCCCTCCCTTCTTCCCAGGCTCAACTTTTCTCCCATTTTTTTCTACTTCCTATCTCCCAGCAGCACAGGGGAATGGTGGTTGTGGTCAGTTCATCACACATTGTCTCTGCTGCTGCTTCCTCCTTAGGGCAGAAGGACTCCTCACACTCTTCCCTTGCCCCATGTGATGTCCCTCCCATGGGAGACAGTTCTCTAGGAACTTCTGCAACATTAGTCCTTCCCATGGGCTGCTGTTCTTAATGAACTGCTCCAGGACAGGTCCTTTCCATGGAATGCATAGAAAGCAACTAATCCTTCAGGAACAGACTGCTCCAACATGGATCCATCACAGGGTCACAAGTCCAGCCAGGAAACCTGCTCCAGCGTAGGTTCCTCTCTGTGTGAGTCCACAGGTCCTGCCAGGAACCTGCTCCAGCAAGGGCTTCCCATGGGGTAACAGCCTTCTTTGGACATCCGCCTGCTCTGGTGTGGGGTCCTCCATGGGCTGCAGGTGGATCTATCCTACACCATTAACCTTCATGGGCTGCAGGGGGACAGCCTGCCTCCCCATGGTCTTCACAATGAGCTGCAGGGGAATCTCTGCTCCAGTGCCTGGAGCACCTCCCCCTCCTTTTTCATTGACCTTGGAGTCTGCAGAGTTTTTTGTCTCACATATTCTCACTTCTCTCCTGTTGCAATTGCCATTGCGCAGTTGGTTTCATCCATCTGTGTCCCCCTTCCTCCCCTTTCTTTACATACTTTATCACACAGGTACTGCCACTGTCACTGATGGGCTTGGCCTTGGCCAGCCTTGGGTCTGTCTTGGAGCCAGCTGGCATTGGCTCTGTCAGGTGTATGAGAAACTTCTAGCAGCTTCTCACACTGCCCTGCCCACTCCCAAAGCCTAGCTACATAAACCCAGTACGTGTAAAAAAACGAACAGGTGTTTGTTTAATCTGTTGTACCATTCTTTTTTTCTTTTCTTTTTGCCAACACCATATTGCTGTTCTTAGGAATATGTCCTCATCTTCAGAACAGGTGAGTTGGTTTGTTTAAAGCTGATATTACAGTAACTTAGAAATTAAACAGGTTATGTATCCTGTTTTCCCATGTCAGAACATATAGCATGTAGTCAGAACTTCTTTCTTTCCTCTAAATCAGTCCTCAATATTTGTTGTTACTGTTTTTCTACATACTACTTCCTGAAACCAGGTTAAGGAGATAAAAAACTGTATTTTTCTCTATTTCTCTACATATAATGTTCTCAGTTTTCTTGACAATTTTAACTTAGGATCTTCTTTAAACGCTCATTTTGGAGATAGAAATTAAATGGGGGAAAGTAGTTTTTATAGTTATTTTTAATAGTTTGACTTCTGAACCTTGGAGATGTAGGCTACCTACTTATAGTCTCAGACTTCACATAAAGAAAATGCTTTGAATATGACCTCATTACACAGTTGAGATTATGTTAAGGGTTGAGAAGGAGTGGCTTCTTACCAGTCTTTCTAAATCCTGTTATGTGCATTCCATACTAAGATTCCAAGACCCATGAAGTTTAATGAGCCTACTTTTGATAGTGGCAGGATCCTTTTGGTGTTGATTATTTGCATCAAAAATAAGTACTGTGTATCTCCTACTCAGTGAACAATACATTCAAAATCTTAATTTAGCTCAAAGGTGCATAAGGTATGTGTGTACTGATCTATTTTTGGAAAGTGTTCATGATGTCATAAAGTGGTAAGTTACTAAAACATACTCAGGGCATCCCTTAAAGAGATTATCTGATGTGGAGGCTTAGAAAGGAAAATTGGAAGCTTCGCATTCTCATGCAATTTTAAATTAATGGCAAGAATAGCAGATATGCTTTCTTAAAGTAAAACCTAAATCAAGATCCTAAGTTTATAATTCTAGATTTCAGCCTTTCAAAACTAATGATTTCAGTGAAACTGCTGAGTTCAACAAACCAAATCCATATTCATAGTGTAGCGTCCTTCAGACACAGCATTTGTCACATTCTGTCCTGAAGTTTTAATGTAGATCTTTGTTTTGCAGTTGTAGACGTCTCTGTTGTGGTGCTGAATGATGTGATAGCTCAGGCTATCACATTTACTGCTTGAAAAATGTTCTATACCTGCTCTAGCTAAGACTCACAAACTGACTTCTGTTTGTTCCTGTATTCATTTGCTTTTATATTCACTGATTGCTAGAAATACGGTAGCGGGACAGAGTAGGTAAGAAGGTAAGAGGCAAATGAGACTTGTTGAGTGCTTATCTTGGGTTTGATGTCCCAAAACATTGGAGGAGGGCATAGTCCTCAGTATTGGTCTCTGATCATTCTACTTACTAAATAAGGTGCAAATACTTCCTCTCTGAAAAGTTTTACTTGTTTTTGTTGCATGCAAGATATAACAATTTGACAGAATAAAATGAGGAAACACATTTGGCATGTAGTGAATGCATATTCCCATCCCATTCCTCCTAGACATTTACTCTTCTACTCTGGTACCTCACACAAAAGCAAGGGAACAAAAAATAGGAAATCAGGTAAAACATCAATTGTCATTTAAGTCTTAGGAGGAAAAAAAAAAAGGAATTTTTTTACTTGAGAAGGGTTTAAGCTCTAGTTAAGTGTCTGTGTGCCTTTACATTTGCAGTCATCACTATTTCCCTGTATGCTATAATTTATTACTTCCTTCCTCTGCATTTGTGTGCTGCAAAATCTTCCAGAAGGAGAAGGAGAAGGTAGCATTCCAGTTCTTACTTTCTCAGTGCTTCTTGAAAAGCTTTTTGGCCTCTATCCTAGAGCTGCTTTACTTCTTTTCTGAAACTTTGAATGGTCTCTGTTATTCTAACAAATTTCAACCTTACATGTTACATTTCTGCTTCTGAAAGACAAGAGAGCTCATTTCCACTGAGCTGATCTAGTGAAAATTAGAAGCAGGACTTTATTATGTAGTAACTAGGAGAAGACATGAGGAGAAAGTTCTCTTCAAATGGCAAGAGTAGTTTGTATGAATGACAGCAACAGTTACTGTGGCTTTTGAGTGGTCAGTGCTGCTGTGATAGGGATGCCCTGAGTTGCATGGTGATGTTTAGATGTGGTGTATGCTGGTGAAGCAAATCTTTGCAAAGCATTGTTACCTTTGTTGGTCTTTTGGTTTAGATGTGCATTTTGGCTTCTGTTGTGACTTTATGTTCCTTTAAAGCATGCTTTTCTGAATTTGATTTTTGTTTTGTAGTCTAAAGAATTTTAAATGTTCTCCAACATATAAAATATCAAAACATTTATGACTTCAAATTAGTTGCTACCATGTTATTATTCTAGTCTTGAAGAGAAAACTAAAATGAAAAAAAGAAAAGGTAAAAATAATTAGAAGTGATGCACTTCTTTGGTGATCTTTCATTCTGTCTTCTTGTTGAATGTGTTTTCTTAATGGGTTAGAAGACTGACAATTGCAGGTAGATAATTAAGTACCAATTCTTAGCAACTCTCTACTGTATTTTCAGAATATAAATTGACAGTATCTTGAAACTAGATAACCTAAAACGTTTTCAGATGTTCAACTTTAAGCATGTTATATGCCCAGTTTTCTTTCCTAGATAGATTTAGATAGAAAAATATCAAAATAATTCAGTTCCTCAAATCACTTACAGTGTGGTATGCGTTTTGCTTTGTTTTGCTTGTTTCTATCTTAAAAAACAGGAAAAAAAGTGAAAAGAAGGCCTTCTGAAAACACACAACACATCACTAGTCTGGTACAATTTTTGTAGCACAATACATAGTATTTGTGGCAGATCTGTGGTTTAAAGGAAGCCTTTCATCTCCCTCCTTCCCCCCCCCTTTTTTTTCTTGTTGCTTGATATTTAATGAGACTCCTTAGGCTGCTCAAGTTGTATTTCATCAATACATATGTGATGTAAGTGTCTTGTGTGTAAATATCACAATCCAGGTTTAAGTTCTGCATAGACATCAGTGAAAGCTGGTGCAAAACTGGGCCTGTGTGCTGGGCTGGATGCTGTCTAGTGTAACTGAGGCAATATGGTAGTTCGATACACAAAGTTTCTGCATGAGTCTGTCTATTTGTAAATAATGTATTTAAACACTTGATTGGATCAGGGAAGTTTAGCTCTCAGATATTAGACTGGAAGCCCATAAATTTTGCATGAACAAAGTTAGATGTTTGTTATTTGAAGCCTTAAGCTAAAACTGATAAATTACAGTGTCAGCAGTTTCCTGGTGTTATTTGAGTCTTGGACAAGTTAAGACAAGGAGAGAACATTGAAGGGAATTACAGTTGAGCAAACTAGTAGATGGATATTCCATTATTCTTCAACTATTCCTGAATTCACATTTTTCATTTCTGTAGCAACTCCTAGAGTATCTTATTGACATAGTTGTGCCTTTCAATGCACTTTGTGGTATGTAAGTTACATTTGTTAATAGTGATCTGATAAACTGAAATTTGATAGACATTAAGTACATGTTCAGTTAAAATGTGGTTCAGCTGTTTGAGCTCATTTGTTTATTTCTTCGCAATGAAGTTGAAGTGACCAGGGAGGGATTTAAATTCTTCTTACTCCAGGTAGAATGTGTTATCACCAGAATATATGGTGTATTGTATAAATCAGAATGCTAATTACACAATCAGAACTGTATAAATTCAGATGGCTATAAACTGCACCAAAGGCTTGTTATTGCTTGTGTGGCTGATAGTGCTGACCTGCAGATGTGTGAGAGAACAAGCAAGATGGTGTAATTTAAAGAAATGTAAACTGCATTGCTAGGAAATGCTATTCTTCATCCACTTCCCTTAGGAGGGAGACTTGCCAAATGTGACATATCTGCATGTGTCTGTACAATGCTGACAAGTGCCGTTAATATAAATTCATTAATCTTTAGTGCAACTAATGCTGTCTTATCTGCTACTCTTACAGGAATTCCATATAAACAGCTGACTGTAGGTGTCCCCAGGGAGATATTTGAGAATGAGAAGAGAGTGGCTCTATCACCGGCTGGAGTTCACGCCTTGGTTAAACAAGGTTTCAATGTCGTGGTGGAATCTCGTGCTGGAGAAGCTTCCAAATTTTCTGATGACCATTACAGAGAAGTTGGAGCAAAGATCCAGGGAACCAAGGAAGTTCTGGCTTCTGATTTGATTGTCAAAGTGCGTGCTTTATTAATATATTTCCTATTATATTTTTTTCAAAGAAACATATACGTCTTTTTTTTCTAATAGTCTGCTGGAAGTTCAGTAATTCCTTTAAATTAATATTTTCCATTTTAAGTTCTGATTATTTTTTCTTTTTTTTTCTGATAGCTCAGGTGTGCACCTATGGTAATGAACTAGTAAATAGCAGCACTTTAAAAAAATAAGGATAATTTCTTATCAAGTTTTTAACTACCTTGGGGGAGTTGTGTTTTCTAAAGCAAGGTAGACTAGTTTTGGAGTCTAATCAGATGAGATCCCATGAGAAACTTTTGCTCCAAAATTAGTAACACACAACTCAAGTTACTCTTTAGAGAGAATTGCTTGGGATTTTGAAGATGCAAATTTCTAACTTTTCTCACTTAGACATCCAACAATTTCACAGCAAAAGTGTGTTTCAAAAGTATTTGTAACTAGATGAGTTATAGCTGAAATGGGAAGACTGCTAAAAGTGAGAGGTGTTGAGTTGTGCAGAGTCCAGGAATTAAAGAAGAAGACAACCTTAAACCTGATCTTGAGTCTTCCTTTAACTGCTCTATTTGAAGTTATCCTGTCAAGATTGAATATAGAATTTCTGTGAGCTAGTTTGTGAATAAGCCTTTTAAAGAGGTTTCTTCTTGAAGAAAAGTGAGATACTAGAAAGAAGGGTATGCAGATCAAGATGAGTATCTGCTGGACTTCATGCTTGAAGTTCCCTGTATGTAATGGTACACTGCGACCTAATTAGTGATTCTTACCCTGTAGAGCTTAATTGGCATTGTTCAGTAATCTTACTGCTTAAAAATGGTTGGTTTTGGGGCAGCTGTCTGTCATAAAAGTCATTAATTGGTCATTAGAAGCCATTGGATCTTTATGAAAGTGTGTGCCAGCTATTACTGCCCTGTTATCAATCTGCCTGGAGCTAATTGTAACAATGATTAACTGCAGTTAAGAAGTGCAGTTACTCAGTTCAGTTGTGTAAACAGCTTTTGATATACTTCTTTCCTTTTGTGCCTTGTGGGTGGGAATGGCATAATGCAAGCTGGGAGAAAGGAAGTAGAGTGTGTTCTGATTTATTTCCTCTGATTAATTTGGAAAGTTCTGTCTTTCTTCAGGTGAGGGCTCCTATATATAACTCGGATCTAGGTGTACATGAGGCAGATCTTTTTAAGACGGCGGCTACCCTCATTAGTTTTATCTACCCAGCACAAAATCCAGACCTCCTGAAAAAACTTGCAGAAAAAAAAACTACTGTCTTGGCTATGGATCAGGTTCCACGGGTCACCATTGCTCAGGGATATGATGCGCTTAGCTCCATGGCCAACATTGCTGGGTATGAATCTTACTACTTTTTTTTTTTTTTTTTAAGCCTTAGTTTATATAGGTGGATTAAAAGCTATGTGCTTTGATATTAGGTACATCTAAAACAATTTTGAAATACCTATTTTCATATAGCTGTTTCAAGCAGGATGATGCTGTTGGAAGTGCCAAACAACTTAGTTTCTTATGGTCAGCTTTGCAGCAGATAAGAGCAAGGCTTTAAATAAAGAAACAAAATTGAAGGCAGTTCTTCTAATTCCTGGGCTGCTTTGTGTAGTACCTTTTGATCTGAACTAGATCAGAGCAGGCTCAAAGGTATCTTAAGACAACTTGAACGCAAATTGTCTGTCACTGGAATCTGATGTTGGGAGCTAACTATCCCAAACAGCACTCAGTATGAATGCAATTGCCATAGCAGATATAAATAAAAGACCAGATACTCTCAGACATCTTCATGCTTTGTGACTGGTATTGCAGTGAATTAAAATGTTGTTGTTGTCAAGTTGACTTCTATTACTAGGTTCTTTGTTGCTTTTTTTCTTTTTTAATGACTTCTACTTAGATGATGTCTGTAAGGCATAAGCCTTGGAGAAGGCTGACTCATTTTGTGAACATCAGCAGTATATATCTGCATACATCTTTGGTTACATATCTGTGTTTTCATTCTGTGTAATTTTGTGAAAATAGCAGGTATATAAAGGTATAAAATCTACAAGCTGTATTCCAAATTGAAACTAATTTTATGGCATGCAGACCTCTATTTGTCCCTGCTAGAGACAGGAAAGAGAGCAGAGTGGGACTGTTGAACCTCACTGTTGAACCTCAGCACTGTTAGTAAAAATGCAAGAAAATGTGTACTGTTGTAATTGCACACTAATTTGCATTTTCATCAGCTCTACTGATGTTAACTGGACATCCAGCCACCCATTCTCGGTTAGCTACAAAGCAGATGGGGCAAAAGAAGGAGCAAGATTAAGCCATCTGGCTCTGCAAAGTGTGAGGGTCAGGGTGTCTTTTTGACTGTGTGCTTGCTTGTCCAATTGAGCTTACTGCAAAATTACTCTAGGTTTTGCAATTGCTTGTTCGTGTTTCCTTCCCTAACAAGCCTCAGGTTACAGCCTTTGACGGTAGCTTCAAAGACCACAGAATGAACATTTTTGGCAAGTTATGCATTTATTGTTCAGGTAAAATTTTATTTGAGAAAGTTAGAGACATCCAATGTATTGCAGCTCAAAAATTCTGTCTGAAAATGCTTTCCACGATTTAAAAAAAGAAAAGGCAAGAAATAGAAATAAAGACAGACTATTAACGTTGTGGTCAATAGTAGAATATTAAACTTGCTTTCTCCTATGTGTGCTATGGTCAAATGATTGCTATCGTGAATGTAGTTGTATTGAGCCTGGGAAAATACTGATATGTGTTCATCCTTAATTGACAGTTACAAGGCTGTTGTACTGGCAGCAAATCACTTTGGTCGATTTTTCACGGGTCAGATTACAGCTGCTGGTAAAGTTCCTCCAGCAAAGGTATGTGCAATTAAACCAATACTGTGACAGAAGAATATGTGAGCTCCTGAGCACAGCTAGTCACTGCTGAAACTGTTAAAAAGCACTTTTTCTGCCTTGAGGCTATTTCTTTGGAGTCTCTAGAAATCCATATAGTTATTCTCATACCAATTTTTGTTTACTACCTGTAGTGTCTTTTTTTTTTTTCTTTGGCTGGGTGTGTGGGAGGTAATAATAGAATAATTTAAGTTTTATTTAACTGTGCTTAGTTGTAAACATCATTGTAAAGATCAGACTAGCTGCATACATTAGTGAATTTTTTTTTTCCAGATGGGGAAAGGCAAGGAAGCAGTTAAGAAAAGTCAGAGAAGTTTAGATTTTTGGTGTGTTCAAGGCAGCAGTGGAAAGGATTACTTGATTGGAATTGCAGGTGGATTGGGTTGAAGAGAAATGAAATTAGAATTAAGGAAGGAAAAAAAGATAAATTAAGGAGAAAACCTATACTTACTTACATAAACTGTTAGCTACAGATGTGTTTGCTCTCAGAGAAGTGAAGTTAGGCATTAACAGCTTTTAAACAGGTTTACTGGGCAGCTTTACCAAAGCGATTTTAGGTTCTGTGTCCTAAGGTAACTTGTTTAAAGAGCTGGTTAACAAGCTGCAGTTGTGAAAGCAGTACAATGCTGCTGCTTTTCTAACAAGCTCTAGTTTTAGTTTATACTCCAAGTGTGATGATGTTATCATTCTAGGTCTTGATCATTGGAGGAGGAGTTGCTGGCCTGGCTTCTGCAGGAGCAGCTAAATCAATGGGTGCAGTCGTTCGTGGATTTGATACTAGGTAGGTGTGTGAAAATAGTAAAGAAATTCTGAAATTATTTAAGATTAAGTAGTTTGTGCCTGTATTACAGTGAAAGCACTCCTACTGCACTAAATCACATTTCCTTTCCTGCCATTTTGATTCCATCACTATTCCTCTGTTTTTTATATACCTTTCCAAAGAGTCCTTTTTATTAAATTGTTCAGAACTAGATGAATAAAAAATTGTTGCTTTTTGAAATTGAGAAAGTTAGGGCTTTTATCCAGAACTTCCTGTCTGTTCTTCTTGGGGACACAGGAGAAAAATCAATAAAGAAACAATATTTATGCCCTTATTTACAGCTTGCTTTGATCCATGTTCATAGCTGCATTCTCTTTCACCTCTACTGTCCTGACCCCAGAGAGGCCAGCTAGGAGCTCTTGGGAGAGACGCTTCTTTCAATCTGCTGAAGGAGAGAAAGAGATCAAGTTATTTTATTTATGGTACTCAAGGTAAAAGGAAATAAACTGCAGCTAAAGCTGCTTTAAATGCTGCTTTCCATGTGTCTCCTTATATTTGGAAGGATTATGTTGTCCCATAGACATTTTTTAGAGCAGTAGACTGAAAAGATTACAGAGCACCAACATTATTCTTACAGCTACAGGGACTGCAAATTTGAGTAGGAATAGTGTGGCCAGCAGTAGGAGGGATGTTATTTTCCCTTTGTACTCAGCACTGGTGAGGCATCACCTCGAGTACTGTGTACACTTCTGGGCCACTCACTTCAAGAAGGATATTGAGGTGCTGGAGCAGGTGCAGAGGAGAGCAACAAGGCTAGTGAAGGGACTAAAGGGAAGGTCTTATAATGAGAGGGTAAGGGAGCTGGGGTTGTTTAGCTTGGAGAAGAGGAGACTCAGGGGGGACCTTACTGCTCTCTACAACTATCTGATGGAGGTTGTAGTCAGGTGGGGGTTGGGCCCTTCTGCCAGGCAACTAGTGACAAGACGAGAAGGCAGAGCCTGAAGCAGTGCCGGGGAGATTTAGGATGGATATTAGAAAGCACTTTTTCATGGAGAGGGTGATCGGGCATTGGAATGGACTGCCCAGGGAGGTGGTGGAGGTGTTTAAGGAAACGCTGGATGTGGGACTTAGTGCCATCGTCTAGCCGATGTGGTAGTGTTAGGTCATAGGCTGGACTTGATGATCTCAGGTCTTTTCCAGCCTCAGTAATTCTGTGATTCTGTGAATTTGTATGTGCTTAATACTGTATTTGCATTGAAATTACTTATACATGTTTAATTTTATGCAAAAGTGGCATCTAGTGTTACTTAGCTCTATTTTATATGAAAGAATAAAAATGAATATGTCTCCAGATTTATGATATGCAACGTGGAAGTTCTAGTTTGTTGGAAGATCTGCATATGCGTTAAAACAAACTGGAAAGATTCTTAAAAGCATGTTCAAAATCTGTCTGAATTTTTTTCTTATTTTTTTAAATTTTATTCCTTTCTTAACATCCTATATACTTTCATATTGGTGTGCAAGAATGTTTGTGTTAAATCCTCTGCATATTGTGAGTATTCACCTAACACTGAAATTTGGTCTCATTCACTGTAATGCAAAATAAATTATGGATTTACAGGATAACTGTAAAAAAAAAACACCCAACAACCTATACCAAAACAAATACCACCACCCCAAAACAATTTTTCCCTGTGAAACTACAACTTACTGGAATTTCCTGTTTCACAGATAAAAGTTGCTCTGTATTTATCACCCATCTTGGGCATCTAACTTTGGTCTGTAGGTTTACCTAGTCATGACTAGAGAAATGGGTGAGCAGAGTTGGTCAATTAAGTTCCCAGCTTTGAGAGTTTTCTTGGAGCAGCTCTGCTGACTACACAGGCGACTGTAGTCTGGCTTCATTCTTTATACGTGTATCTTCATTAGGGACCTAACTTTTATTATTCAGTTACTTTTTTTACAAAATACAGAAAGTTGAGGACTTAAGTTATAGTTTCCTTAATCCTAGAGTAAGTTTTTGATCTCTCATCTGAAGAAGACTACTACTAAAATGACCAGAAAAGTCATGGTGGATTTTTAAAGTACTGGCTATTCCCTCCTCCTCAATTTCTTTTCCTAGAGCTGCAGCTCTGGAGCAGTTCAAGTCTCTTGGTGCTGAGCCTTTGGAAGTAGACTTAAAGGAATCTGGAGAGGGACAAGGTGGTTATGCTAAAGAAATGTCCAAAGAATTTATTGAGGCTGAAATGAAACTCTTTGCCAAACAATGCCAGGATGTTGATATTATCATCACTACAGCACTTATTCCAGGTATTTTTAATGTGCAAGATGCTGGTTTTCATTTATCTTGTGTAAATTGGCATGTTTTGGAGCTATGCCTGCAGTAAAAACAGGTGTTAATGAAATATGTCTGTGTGAGCATGTACTGTTCCCTTCCCTGATAAATGCCTGGTTCAAAAATATGTGCCTTTTTTACAACTTCTGTTTTCACGAGCTACCAGTTTTTGACTCAGCATCATCATGTTGGCTTATTAAACTAAGAGCAGATAGTAATAAAGTAAGAATATATAATTTTGCATATTTATTTCATCTCTACTACTGAAACAAGTCAAATTGAAACAGTACTGTCTTTTGTAATTGAAACATAGTAAGGTAGAGCTTAGATTTTAGTGCTTTGTATTGCACAGCATTTGTCTTTTAATAGCTTATGATTTGGGTTTGTTTGTTTTTTGGTTTTGCGTTTTTATTATGGCTTGAATTGTAAGATTGGATGTGGTCTGTTTTACTGAGGGCGAAATTGGACTTGCCAGCATCTTTGGTAGACTGCCCATGCATACTTTTTTATATGCTTGGGAGCAAGATGTTATAGCATCTTTTCTCTCGGCCTGTATGAAAGCACATTCTGTGACTTTTCATCCTAAGTACCAATTACTTGAAAATTTTACTTACAAAAATAAGGTTTATAGAGAGAGAAAGAGAAGGAAAGAACTTCTCTCATGAGCTCTACAGATAAATAGCTGTATTTTGTGTTTAACTTACTATGCCTTGTCTTGTCAGGCAAAAAAGCTCCCATTTTGTTTAAGAAAGATATGATTGAGTCAATGAAGGAGGGTTCAGTTGTTGTGGATTTAGCTGCAGAAGCAGGGGGAAACATTGAGACTACAAAGCCTGGAGAAATGTATGTTCATAAGGTGAGCATTTTAATCTGCAGCTCATTCTCAGCTTGTATGAATTCACATTGTGTTTTGTAAACTGTTGGCTGAAAGGAAGTAGCTGATTTTGCTATTTGGGCTTAAATAATCATTTAGATTTGCATTTGGTCACTAGTCATCTCTATGTACAACTGTTTGAAGATTTTTAAAGAAACAAATACCTTTGTATAGTGTTAATTTGGTTGTTAAGTAGGAAGGTGTTACTACTTAGACTTCTGAGTCCAGTAACTTGTCTCTGCTGAGTTGAGGATGTGGCTTGAAGTCTATTTATTGCTGTACCTAAAGAAGCAGCAGTAGCAATAGATTCTTTGCCTTGCTCATCTCCTCCCACAACTAGAGATTAACAGCCCCTGTCATATAAGGTAAACGGGTTCAGACTGTGTCTTTAGCTTTGCCAGTGTGTGTCTGCCCTGGAGTATCTCAAACTAGAGGCAGTGTGAACTGATTCATTAAACTAAGCAGTTTTGCTCTGGACTGAACTAACTACTTTGGTTTTGCTCCACTGTTCATTGGCTCAGTTGAGAGCTTGTTTTCTACATTTTGGGTTTTACTTATGAGAAATATACTAGCTGTTAGAGAAATCTGGGTGATGAGATTTAAAGTGGCAGATTTCCAAGGTTGTTACTTGGTAATGTAAGGACATAATTGTGCTGTTATGCTGCTCTAGAGGCTTCCCCAGGGAAGCCTGTAGGACATTGCTGCCATGGTTGTCATTAATATAAGCAGAGCTGTGTATATATATCACGAGTCACACATTGTATTTGGCTTTGTAGTTCTTTAGGACTTTTCATGTCGTTGCTTAAAAACTGAAATTAGGGTCTGTAAAACAGGAATAAGCAGATACTTGTGTGAAGAATTTATATGGAGTGCTTTTAGCCAGAGGAGTATTACCCCTGGATATTGTTTACTGGCACTGAGCTATGGAAAAAGAACAGCTGTGCAGAACTATTAGCAGTGTGCTAGAGCATTGCATTAAGAAGCCAGAGTTGCTGAAAGCATGCATGGATCTTAGCTGTAAGTTGTGGGAGCACTGTTTTAACTCAAGCCTGCTTGAACTTGTAAAGTGTATGCCTGCCTGAGCTTCCCAAACCTTTCAAAAGCTCAAGAGTCTGATAGCTGCATTTGTTCACATTTGTTCTTTAAACTGTGTGAATATATTATGTTACATCTTTACATCAGTGTGAACCTGGTCATATTACTTGCATGGCTGGGAAGCTCCCTTCACTCCTCTGTCATATAGAAAGTTGCCTCCACTGCATGCCTTTCAGAAAGACTGAGAAGGTGCCAAGCATTGGGCAGGATAATCTCTTACCTGGTTGCTTTAAGAAGCAAAGTTCCGACAGAATGGTAGGATTTGGAGAGGACAAGGTCTTGTGCCAGCGTGTCTTCCTCTCTGTGTAGGCTTGTTGCTAAGGGTATTTAAGGTGTTGGGTTTGGTCATGTTGAATTATGTAACTATTGTGAGTAATCCTCTCCCAACTTAATAATTTTAGAGCTGCTGGTAACAATTTTAGCAGGGAATAAAAACAGAAATAAGTGAAACAGTTTGGATATCTATTTCCAGAAGGATATATTGGAAGAGATGTTGCTTCTTCAGAGAATGAACTAATCCTTAATATCTTCCTGGAATTTTTTTCAGGGTGTTACACACATTGGCTACACAGACCTGCCTAGCAGAATGGCTACTCAGGCCAGTAGTCTGTATTCCAATAATATTATCAAACTCCTAAAGGCTATTAGTCCTGACAAAGAGAACTTCTACTTTGATCCAAAAGACAAATTTGATTATGGGACTCTGGATCATGTTATCAGAGGAACTGTAGTAATGAAGGTAAGTCAGTAAATATGCTCTTCTTAATTTGTGAGTACATACTTTTACATTTGTGTTGTCCCTTTAAAATGCATTCAAAGATACTGCATGCCAATGGGCTTCAGGTGTGGTTGATGAACAGTGTGGGCATTGTGTTTGTAGTCAGCTGAATATTCCTCTGTCCCTTTCTGTGAAGGACAACCGCTTTGCTTTTGTCTGCTGGTCATGGTTAAACAAATACTTAATGTCTACTATTGAAAAATGGGAAGAAGATTAAATTTGCATGTTGTATTCATGTCATAAAAGCATAGTTATATAAAACATTTAATGTTAAAACATTACTGCAGAACCAGAAAAGCATTCTTCCTTTGTGTTTTTTTTAAATATATGTTTCTGTTCTTGTAAAACTAACTTCAGAAAAAACTGTTGAAACTAGACTATGTTGGATACTTTAAGCTCTATTAGGAAATAGTAAAATACAAACTTAGGACATGGGCCAGTATGTGTCCTCCTCCTGCAACCATTAGGAAATGATAATATGCAGTTTAGATAAGAGGTATTTATTTCAGTTGAGTTTTGCTGCGTAGTGTTGCCAATATTTTGTAATGCTTATGATATCTCCTCTGGAGGAGGCTTCCATTGACTTCAACTCTCCCATACCACTGAAGTGGTGTGTACAGCTCACTCAGGTCTGACAGCTCCACCGGTTATTCCTCCAGAGGCCTGAAGAACGCCAAGAAACATGAAGCATCATGCTTGGTACCTGTCTGAGGTCTGGGCAGGCTCTGATTACAGTTCAGATGTGTAGCAGATTTTGCTATTTCCCTCTTTTATTTTGCATAAATGCTTTCCATTTAAGGAACTCTTTATCTTTGTTTTGATTTCTGCTTTCAAGTCTTGTGTTTCTACCAGCTGCTCTTGGACGCTGGTATTAAGTCTTATCTGAAAAATGCATAAAGCAGTATGGTTAACTTGGTCAGGCTGTACTGATCATCCAGCCTTGCAGACTGAGCCTGATACATAAAAGGAAGATGTTCCTGTGGCATGGTTGTAGGTTGTTAAGACTTACCTGAGTTGCAGGATTAAGAAGAGTAGGCTCCTCTATTTATAAAGCGTCTGCCATGTTAGGCATAACTGTAAATATCTCTTGTCAGGATGGCAAGGTGATTTTCCCAGCACCTCCACCAAGTAACATTCCTCAAGGAGCCCCTGTGAAGCAGAAGACTGTAGCAGAGCTGGAAGCGGAAAAAGCAGCTACTATTACACCTTTTAGAAAAACTATGACTAGTGCATCTGTATACACAGCAGGTAGGCAACTTCCATAGCTGGAGAATCAGTGTAGAATGCACCTCATTTGGCTAATACGTTTAAGTGACTCCTCAGCCTGCTTATTCTACTACAACTTAGTAACTGGCTGGGAGAGCAGTTGATTGGCTGGTGTATCCTAGTGCAAAATCAGTGTAGTGTAATAATTGCTTTTGAGAAGGAAAATAAAATTTTAGAAATTTAACTAAAAGTATTAACATACCAAACAGTGCTGACTCATGCTCTGTGTATGTATGTTTGTTTGGCTTTATTAAAATATCAGTAAAATACTTAAAATTTTGAAGGACTCCTGCTAGGTACTGTGCCCATACTTTTCAGCAGAATTAATTCAATGCCATTGCTTTCTTCAGACTTTAATCTACGTTGTGAGACTTAAATGCCCACAATCTACTGAAGTACTGAAAATAGGACATTTGTCTTGAAGAAATATTGGCTATACTTGTCATTTGGTGTTCTGTGTGCATCAGAACTTCTGCATGAGGAAATCAATGAATTGAGTAGTTTAACCTCTGCTCTTCATATGCATGGAGTCTTCCAAGTAGGGTTGCAACTTGATTTTGACTCTTCTGTATTACTATAGAACGGGAGAGTGACAGGATTCAGCGTTGGTGTAGAAACCTACTTAGCTGCTTTGTGTGCATGCATGATAGAGATGTGTGTATTGTATGTCTGATTTTCATTTATATTGTAAAAGAAACACTAGCACGGAAAGATGATCCAGCTGATCTTGGAACAGGTTCATGCACAAATCTCCATTTTGCTTTTAGCTCCATACTGGACTCCTGTTGTGCAGAGTTTAAAAGTAAGAAACCACTGAGAAGTTACACAGACATTTTGCTGTGCTTTTCTTCTAGGTTTATCCAGCATGTTAGGACTGGGCATTGCAGCTCCTAATGCTGCTTTCACACAAATGGTGACAACATTTGGCCTAGCTGGAATAGTGGGGTACCATACAGTATGGGGTGTGACTCCTGCTCTTCACTCTCCACTCATGTCAGTGACCAATGCTATCTCAGGTAAGTAGCTGCTTATTTTCTATTTAAAATAGGCACAGCTCCTGTTACTCAAACTTCAGACAGAAGTCTTCTTATAGGCCTTTTAAAATGCCAAAGAGCCTAGTACTACTTTGCATGTCTTGAGTTTACTTTCATAAGCAGCAAGGACACCTTAAACATACTCTTTCTGGGAGTATGTTTTTTCAAAATAAGGACAATTGTGGTCCTGTATATTTTATTTTTGTAAGTAATTTTTCACTTCTAACCAGTTTGCTTTAAAGTTTATTTTACTTGGAATTTTGCAGTCTCACATTTCATAGAACATATCTTTCCTCCCATTTCTCAAAAATGTTGCCCTGAAAATAACTTGTCTTTTACGTATTCTGCATTTTTTTTTTCTTCTCTTCAAGAGGGGGCGAGGAAAGGAAAAATATCCTAAGTGACCCATAAGATTCATCATTATAAATATAGAAGAGTTTATATATATGTCTGATCTACTGTAACTGTTAAAACCAAAGTTTATTTTATTGAACAAGTACTCAGGAACTGACTCTGTACTTGAGGCACTGTACTTCAAAACTATTCATATACTCATTTTTTTTTTTTCATTTGAAAGGTGTTTATATTGCTGAAAAAGACCATGGCAGTCTTTGTTTAAATAGTAATGTATAGAGTAGGGGTCAAAATTTTAGTTGGCTGATATCTATTTGACATCTGAAAGAAAACTTGCTTTAAGTTATAGAGCCTTTTAAGGTTCTGTAATGTTTTTTGTTTTTTCCCTCTTTTAAATAGGACTAACTGCCGTTGGTGGTCTGGTATTGATGGGAGGAAACTATCTCCCTGAAAATGCTCCACAAAGTCTAGCAGTGCTTTCAGCCTTTATATCTTCAGTCAATATTGCAGGTATGAATGATAGGTTTTTTTCCTGAGTGTAACTTTAAAGCACTTGTGTAAGTCTTTCATTTCTTTTAGCATTTGTAATTGTATATGTTACAAAAATCCTGCTGGCAATGGGATCTGAGAGCTTCCATCAATAAAGAACCACCTGCTGGCCCTCACATTTTCATAGCAGTTACTGTATCTGGTTTAACTGTGGTGTACAGTTACACCCTGTGGTGTAACTGTTTTTTTAGGGAAACATTTAAATGTGCGTTTTTCTTTTACAGTATCCTTTGTGTCATGATTATATTAAATATCTCTTCCTGTATATGGCCAAGATGCTACTGCATTTGTCCTTGTATTTCTTCTCCTAATTCAAAAATACACTAGTGGCATAGAGCAAGATTCTGCTTGCTCGAGCTTCTGAAGTCCTAGCTTCACAAATAAAAAAAAAAATAAGAAAGTGAGTGATGTGACTTATAAAATACTACTTTTTGCTAGAGTAGATAGGGAAAAGGACACAGTTGTAAACTAAGCTGTTTCCTACAGTCAGTGTAGAGTATAGAGCCAGAGCAAGTTCTTCAGGCTTTCTAACTCCTGTTATGAATTTCCTCTAAACATTAAAAAAGACAACAGGATCTCATCCTGGTTACACCTTTGTTTCCTGGTGGTTTTCCAGATTACTAGTTTTTCAGAGGCCTTATTGGCATGAGTTGCTAACTTTGTGTGGTGGTATGGTTTAACTAAATATTTGTTTTTTAGCTTGGCATATGCTTAGTTTCAGATTTTATTTTTGTAAAATTGTTCTTTTCCTTTGGCCAGGTGGGTTCCTAGTTACACAGAGAATGCTGGATATGTTCAAACGTCCTACGGACCCTCCTGAGTACAACTACTTGTACCTACTTCCTGGTAGTGTATTTGTAGGAGGCTATGCAGCTGCTCTCAGTGGTGGCTATAATATTGAACAGGTAAGAAGATAACTTTGTGGCTTTAGCCCACTGTTCACAGCATGGTATGCTTCTTCACTGCTTCCTCTGTTGAGGAGTAAACAGCAAATTAGCCATGATCTTTTCATCAACTATATATTCCGAGGCCAACCTGAAGCTTATTAACTTTAAGCTTGTGATCATACCCCAAATGCTGAATCTGCAAATTTTAAAAGCTTTCTTTTTGTTTTCATTTCTGTTTGGTTTTTTTTTTCCCCTGTAAAGCAGCAGGTATTTTGTTATGTATTGGACAGTTTTCCTAATTTGCAGCTTAAATATTAGAGCAACTGCAGAAATCAGTCTTTGGTTTAAATGTTTCTGAAATTCATTCATTGATGTGGCAATTGAAGTAGGTATGACATCTGGGTGGAATGAGATTTCAGCCCAGAGGAATGTACAGGGATTGTACCTATAGCACCTTTTATGGTAAACTTTTGTTTGCATTTGTTTTAATAGTGAGAAAGATCTATGTATATTGCTTTCTGTGTTTGGAAAACTCAAACATACTTTCATGCCAGGAATTTGTAATATATTTGAGTTTACTCAGTTACTTAGACATTTACAGCTTACCTTATTAAAGTTTGTTCCTACTTTTTGAAATCTTGAGTTTAGATGTGTCATAAGCAAATTCCTGTAATGAACAGGACAATTTAGCTTTGGGTTTGTGCTAAAGAAAAACTTGCTTCTGAACTGATGAGGAAAATTGGCTTGACTGAGGTTTAGTATTCATGGTGCAGATAAACCAGTGTGGAGAAAAAGTTTTAATAGATGTGAATTGGCCAAAGTCACATCCTGTACAACAGTTTCTCATAGTCAAGAGTTGACTTCATTTAAGAACTATGACTTACACATTTTCTGGAGAAGTCAACCCTTTTGTATAATAATCAGAAAGATTTTTATAATGATTATGGAATTTTTCTCTACTTCACATATGCATATTGATGTTTTTCTTATTTTAAAGATGATGTATCTGGGCTCAGGCTTATGCTGTGTTGGTGCCCTGGCTGGTCTGTCCACCCAAGGAACAGCTCGTCTTGGAAATGCTTTGGGTATGATTGGTGTTGCAGGAGGTTTAGCAGCAACTCTTGGAGGCCTTAAACCCACACCTGAACTGTTGGCGCAGATGTCAGGTGCAATGGCACTTGGTGGTACCATAGGTATGTGTGTGAATATGCTCCATACATGGATTTATGCAAGCTGTGTATACTCAATATACTGTATAGCTCATGGATGAATTGACTAGCTTACATTTATGGCTCGTGTACGGTATTTTGCAAATATGTGAACAAAGAATCATAAGTCCCAGGGCTTCTATTAACGCATGAAGATGTGGTAAGGAATAGGTAGACTGGTGGAAAAGCAGGAGCCAGGAGCATGTCATCTCTATTAGGGAAACTGGGTGTGCAGAGGGCAATGATCTTGCCCAACTTTTTACTTCTCTTCAGTTACTGACTGAATGCTGCCAACTTCCCCTTTTTCACCCTGTACTTCCGTCACAGAAAATGTTGAATTTCTCAGTATTTAGTGAAGCTTCCAAGAACATGATATGTTTTAATCCGCTCTCTAATTTTCATTATTTCCTCATTGCACAAAATACACATATGCAGCTTTCAGTTAAACATCATGGCAATTTCTAGTGTAGAGCAAATTTTTCTGCTGTAATGAGCACGTGCGTGCATTTATTCATTGCACACTGAGTCATGATACATTAATTTCTAGCTGCACAGATTGGTTGTGTTTTCTAAGACTTCCCTTCTGTCTTCTACTCTCAATAGGTTTGACGATTGCTAGACGCATCCAGATTACAGATCTGCCTCAGCTAGTGGCTGCTTTCCATAGTTTGGTTGGTTTGGCTGCTGTGCTTACTTGTGTAGCTGAATATATGATTGAATTTCCTCACTTTGCTACTGATCCAGCTGCAAACCTCACCAAGATTGTGGCCTACCTTGGCACGTACATTGGTGGCGTGACTTTCAGTGGCTCTCTTGTGGCATATGGAAAACTGCAAGGTGAGACTTTCCATTAGGATGAATATTTGTTAAAGATGTGTGGGGTTTTTTACCCCCGGGGGTTTAGCTTCTATTTGCATCAAGTAAAAGTTTATATGTGTAGTTCTTATGAGTGTACTTTTTTCCTTTTAGTTCTTTTTAATTTGTGTGCAGCTGTAGTTATGAAAGATTTGTCTTCAGTGCTTAGACCATGCTACTGTTTTTAATTACCAAGACATGTAAGCTTCCCTCAGTTCATCTTGTCTAGAACTAAGTGTTGCTTTTGTGTTGTCAAGTCACTGACACTGTTTCTCTAATTTATTTTTATTGAACTTTTATGATCACAACTTAGTATTCCTCAGCAGACATTTTAATTGAAACCCTGGTGTTGCTGGACTCAGTGAGCATACCTAGTATTTGTGGGGTTTTGTTCTTAGCATTGCAGGCTTCATTTAGGTAGGTAGCCTGCAGTATCAGGTGAGACTGTCTCACTTTAAACCATACAGTTCACTGTCTATTGACCTACTGTGCAAACGGCATGCTCCATACCTCCTACTGTTTAAGTAAATATGCCTTCTAAATTAAATACTCATTAACTCCTGATTCTTATGTACCTGAGGGTTTCTTTATTGCATTTATTTTTGGTTTTGTAAGCACACAGCTTTTGAGAGACTGAGATAATGCCTTTGCTAAGAAGTTCCGGCTAAGAGCTTCCTATTACTAATCCTGTTATTAGCTTTGCAATAGTTCCTTTGGGAAACATCTGTGCTTTCTTCAGTGTTTATGAGACCAAGCATTGAAGGAGGAAGCATGACATGGATGGAAGGCTGTCTTCTCTAATAATCTTTTGAAGGATTTGTCAGTAGTATGTATTTCTGATGAATTTCTGCTAAGTAGATACTCATTAATTTATTCTCTCATTTTTTTCCTCTTCTCCATCTTACCCCCTCCACCCCTTCAGTGATTTGTGCGCATGTTCCTGGTGAACTTCAGTGCCTGTTTCAGCCTACTCTCCTGTTTTTGTTTACTTCCCCCCCTTGCATTTTTATATCAGCAAGTTAATAATAAGCTTGTCTGTACTATTGAACGAGAGGTAGTAGGACATGCACTTTGGCTTCTAGTCCTGAGACTATCTGTTCATTCTTCCCCTTGAATTCAGGTAAATTTAAATGAGACACTCAGTAAGTAATTACTTACACCAAAAGTAACAGATGAACGTGCATTATATTTGCTCTTTGCTGTGTTGTTTGAGACACAACAGTTTTGTTCTTTTTTTTGATTTTTCTTTTGCTGAGGTATTCAGTCTTCACTGGCGCAAGAGACGGGCTCTCTTGCATGTATGATGTATGTGTTAATCTCTGAATATGCATGTGATTTCAGGTATCCTGAATTCTGCACCACTGCTCTTGCCTGGTCGACATGCATTGAATGCAGGATTGCTGGCTGCCAGCTTTGGTGGAATGATTCCATACATGATTGATCCTAGTTACACCACAGGAATTACTTGCTTAGGTTCTGTCTCGGCTCTCTCAGCCATAATGGTAAGTTGGGGAATTGTAGCAGGTGAAACAAATTAAACAAGCAGTTTGTTTTTCATCTTTGCAAATTTCTTCTTAATGATTGTATTTTACCATCCTGAGTCATGATCATTACAGTGCTTATATGCCAACTTGCAGTAGCAAGTAGCAACTAACTTTCCTAAATCTAGCTGTAAACCAGAACTGCTCCAGAGAACACACATGTATGTATATAAATACTTTTTGCAGCTGTGACTTAATGGAGCCTTTTATATGACAAAGTGAAATTCTAAAAGACTTTTTGGCAAGTTTATGTTTGAAATATTTAAAAGAACACTAGATCTACAGGTTATCATGATAAGATCATCCCTGTGTGTAACTTTCCCTGTTCACTCACACCAGCTATTGCAAAATTCACCCCGAGTATTACCATTCTGTAAACTGAGTTTTGCAAAGACTGCTCAGTGTGAATCCTCTAATCACAGAATTACAGAACGTTAGGGATTGG